TGAGACTCGCCTCCAAACTTTGAACTTTGACCTTTGATCTTTGAGCATTTCTTCGACTTCAAGTACCATCTGTTCTGTTGTATTCTGTAATCGAGGACTGGCAAAGACATCCGATCAAATCTTCAGAGGTTTTTAGACGCCCCGAAACCGCTGGATAGCCCCCCAAAATCTTTAGTGAAAACAGCGAAGAAAACAATAATATTCTTGTTTGAGCATAATATAGTCATCATGATTGAGTCTACCTACACCGTTCCTTTGATAGTTCTCATCCTGCGTTAAAATTGTAAACTTATTTTTAGTGATTGTGTGTGTCAGCAAATCAAATTTGATCATGTTTGGATCAAATCCCATAACTTCCTTAATCGTCATTATTCTGCCCTCAGTGCCTCTATCCTAAAACAGAGAGCCGAGAGGATGGAAAAAGAAGACAGGCTTCATTGCGCTATGGATACGTTAAATTTTGGTCTGAACTTCCAGGGTTTTCCCTGGTTTTGAGTTTTGATTATTGGAAAAAGGAACATGATTTTTATTTGAAAATGGAAAAGGATTTTTTTTATTTTAAAAGGACAATGTTTTAATTGTTAAGGGAGAATTAGTTTTCAATTAAAAAGGGAAAGTAATTTTTTTTATTTTAAAACGGAAGACGATTGAAATGGGAAGATGGTTTTAATTGAAAAGGGAAGGTGATTTTTCATTGAAAGGGGGAAATGATTTTATTGAAAATGAAGGATGAATTTTTATTCAAAATTGAAACTGATCTGTAATTTAAAAGGGAAAACAATTTCAATTGAAATGGGTAAATGATTTTAATTTAAAAAAGGAAAACGATTTGTAATAGAAATGGGAAAACAACACACGACAGGTTATCCTCACAGCATGCAATGGCGGATAACGGCTTAATTAAAAGACTGCTTTTTTACTCGCCTGGTGTAATCTATGAAAGCAATAATAATTAATCAGGTACTGTTCTTTGTTAACTAACTTATAGAGCCCTCGGTATCGTTGCTCACATTTACCAAGCCGTAATGAATGTTCCATGTACTCAAATCGCATATGTGATAAATAATTGGAAAACAATTTTTAACTAAGGGATCATCTTGTTCCTCTAAAAGACTTAATATGATCTTTTTGAAGTCCTGTAGAAGTAGGGCAGTAACATTTGTGAGGGTGCTCTGATGCTCTACCTTATGAATGTATGGTGTGTTTTTTTTCTTTGATTAATCCCCTTTCGACTATTTATTTAATTTATTAACATGTTTGCTTCTTGGGTTTCACAATCCTCTCACGTGACAATATACCGAGAGCTCTCTCTATAATATATATACACATCTATTTATAACGCTTTTCTTTATTTATTAAGTGATCTGTTAGGCTGTGGCTACATTTTCTATGCAGGATAATATCTCACAAGTAGTCTGGTACAAACGTTTGCCGTAAAAAACACATCTAACATCAACTAAACAGACAAGTAAATAAACACACGAACAAGAGCAAAAGTCCATTATAAAAGAAAAAAATGACTCATAATTCTTTACTGGTTTTTTTATGTTTGTTCCTCTATTTGGAAACCTACCTCAGGATTTCAATGATTATGATTATTTTTTTTATTTGTAAGGCATGTTTCATCTGTACAAGAAGGAAACAGAAATTCCACTCGTTGTCTTTGTCTCTTAAAGCAATTTAAGTAACTCTTCTCGGTCTCAGAGTTGCTGTATGTGTGATAAGCGAAGATTGTGTTTTAGTTAAAGGAAACATTAGCCTCCTATTCAGAACAATAACATGACCCAGTACGCTCGACCTTGGTCTTCCGTCTCGGTGGGGCCACATGAGCTTTAACATTCTTAAACGGGTCGAAATTTACGTTTATGTTGGTTTCCTGGCATAATGGGTTTTCTCATCCAAAAGGGGAAGGACTATATTGTATTATAAAGTGGAGTTTTAAAAAAAAAACAGTTTACTTTTCAGCGCTTTAGATACTTTTCACACATTGTTACTGTGGATACTATTGCCAAATGGATCCCTCTGCAAGAGATATAGGAACAATCTCAACATTTCTCTCTCCCTCATACTGTTATATTTTAAGCTACTTTGTTTTGATTGATAACATAATATTATTATACTGTCCTGTGATTTATTTATCCTTTTTGATTACATACTTTTGTCTTAACACTCCCAGTGTTGCGGATTATCTGTCTATCTGTCATATGTCTATCTATCTGTCGATCTGTCTGTCTATCTGTCTGTCTGTCTGTCTGTCTGTCTGACTGCTTGACTAGCTATCTAGCTATATTTCCAATGACCTTTCTGTATGTTTTATACCTGCGCACTTCCTTTACGCTTTTAAGAATATATATTTCCATATTACTTTTTCAACTGATACACGTATTACTCTCAGAATGCTTTGTTCACGAGATATCTTTGTAAACAAGAAATTACACGCATCTTTTAAATGTTAAAATATTACAACATTATATGCGGATGATAAGTAAACAAATATTCT